ACCTTCCAGGGTAGTCCACCGCGCGCAACAAAACTTTCAGAACAACAGAAAACACGGATCAACGCTGGGTCGTCCTGAGCGTTCTCGCGCACTTCCTGAGTCTTGTGGTGCAGCTCTGGGATGCGTCGTGACCGCCTCCTTCCGTCTCCTGATTCATCCGACGCTTCGCGAGTTACGCTGTTCGAACAGAGTCAGCTGTGCGCACTGTTGCTTCAACAGCAAGTCGACGGAACTTTATAAAATTTCACGTTTCTGTGCGAATACGTGACACTTGCGTTAGGCGGTCACGAAATACTCCGCTTTTGATGGGACACAACAGTTCCTCACAGCATTGAAAAATCCCCCACAGCCAGTTTAATCTACGCCTTCAGACTGAAGCTTTCGAACGCATGCTACATGCCTGTCCATCCAAAGACGTTTATTTGGTGAAGAGCACTCATTGGAACGACCGTGTTACTGCGAACATGTCAATAACCACTGAGCACACCGCGAAATCAGGACACATGAATATTTATCGCACGTTTGTCTCATTTTGTCCGCAGAACGCAACGTCCAAGGCACTTCGTCAATGCACGTATTTGTAACAAACTTGTTTGCACATGAATAACCCCGTCTCCTGGCGAAACTGATTTGTCACCTGTCAGGGCTGTCCAGCCTGACACCGTAAACGTTTGGCGTTACGAAGCGGTCGTCGTTGCTAGCTTACCAGGAGAATGGCAGTGGTGACACGCTGTCCTCGAACTCTCGTTCTCCAGAGGAGAGAGCTCCAGATAATAAAAAATAAGAATCGAGATGGTTCTCACTTCGATTCCCCGCGCAGAACACGACAGTTCCCTCACAGGATGGCACTGCAGCTTCCCGTTCCTCACGGCTTTCGTGTTTCACCCAAGTCTCCCATTTAAATGCGTTTTGAGCGTAGGCCACGACCACTTCAAATTCATCTTCATCACCCCATGTGCAGTTGAAAAGATCGCAAAAAGTTATCTACGCTGGCAATAGCGATCAGCGTTTGATTGCGTAAGCCGGCAAATAATTCAGCAGAAAAGTTCACGGCCGAAGCCGATTCTACGCGGGCAAACGAGGTTAATATCAGCCGAGGCGGAGTTTGTTGGGAAAATGGGGGCAGAATTCCGGCGGAGTCGCCTTAAAACGCCTGCCAGCGAAAGGGCCGGAGGCGAGGCGAAATCGATTAGTCGCAGAGCGGAGAGAAAGTTGCGCTGCGATTGCGAAACTGCGACAATCTGTGCCTGGTTGCTAGGATACCGACAGTTGCACCTCCTCTGGAGCGACGGGACCCGAACACGCGAACTCGAGGACGCGAAGGAGGACTGACGATTTCGTTATGTGCAGCGCAATCGAGTGACGGCTTCCGGAACAGAAGCTGCCAGTTGCTTAGATAATTCACAGGTTTTTTCAGAGGCACTGACTGGCTGTCATAACCGGACAGGTCCGAGTTCGATTCTTGGCAGTCACGATGAGGAATTATTTTCATCACAGCGCTTGATTCAGCTCAAGATGGAAAAGTTGCGCCGTGTAGTCTGGTAGTTCACGGACGTTTCGGAGGAGCTTACTGCTGCCATCGTCACTGTGACAGATTTTAACCAAGGTTTGAGTGTGTGAAACTCCGGACTATTAAATTTCAAGGAAATTCGTTCAGCGTATCTCGAGCAAGTTCGTGTGAAATTAAGTACGCAAACTAAAACTTAAATTTACGGTGCAAATTCGTTTTCTGTTGGGAAACTGACACTGGGTTAGGCGGTCACGAAATACGCCCGCTTTTAATGGGACCCGAAGTCTTGACAACGCGTCACAAGACGTCAGGCGAGTTTATTTTCACTCGCGTTTTCAAATGCAAAAGTAGGCTTGGTTCATTGCAGACAAGGGCAGCGCATCTTAACGAGATATATTGTTAGCAGCGCATGAAAGGTTAATTAATACTTACCAAGATGAAGGTATTTACAGTAAGAAGTGTGCACTGTGGCACACCCTACTGCTGCGTGCCTGAAGAAACTCTCCACGATATTAGATGAACGAATAGCTTGGAAAACTGTCACGATGGTCGGATGCGGGATACAACAAATGTAAAGAGAATTTCGGTTGGGAAATATCTTCGAATACCTGAGACGGTAATATTGAAAATATATCAATCATCGTGGAAAAGATTTTTTTGTGGAGCAGCTGACAGTAATTCACCTGGCCAAGAAGTTTCCTGCCTGTATTTAACCCGAGTTTTCCTTACGATGTTCGCAGAAGACAGCCTGAGGGAGTTCAGTCCTGCGTGCGTGACATTACTACCCGAATTATCTGGTGTTTAAGGTGCAGATGCTTCGCGTTGTAATATCAGTCGGTCAGCGGATCTGTCCGTCGGTCAACGAACGAACGACCAGTCCGGTGCACTCGCTGCGTTACCTGCACAGTCTGGTATTTGCTGTCGTAGAGGTGG